TACGTAAAGTTCACCCAACTTCACTTTTTGTTCTGGTGTAAGAACACTCTCATCAAATGGTGGCTCTATATATGGCTCATCCTCTTCTTCTTGTGGCCAATCATTGAATTCCATGGCCAACAACTCCTAAATCACCAAAAAGAAATAAAAATTGTTAGTTAAAAAAAACTGCAAAGAAAATGATCTAGACTAAAAACTAATCCTAAATCTTTAGGTAACGCAATTGCTCCCCGGCAGCGGCGCTAACTTGATTACTCGAGTATTTAACCCGATAACTTAACCGAAGTAAAGTATATGCGGGATCGATCACAGGGAGCAAGGGTACACTAAAGACTTGCGAGACTCGTTCTTAGCTAAAGCGGAAAGACTTGTTGTTTGGTTTTCAGTTTGTAAATAAAAATGCAAAAAATAAACTGAGATTTAACTTATAAATTAAATACATTGGGCTGCAGAGTATTTTCAGAGAATCAATGAATAACAAATAAAAGCTATAAGGATTTCTATCATGAAGAATCGTTCTTGAACATGAACAAAATTTTAGACTAATTCTCTCTCAAGACATTAATCACTAAATTCAACTATTCAATTACTAACTCTCATTTGTAATTTCCTAGCCAAATTCGCATTATCAAACATGTTCATTTGTTTAACAAAGCATTCTAACATCAACTCTCGTAGGTTAGAAGTACAATGCTCAATTTACATTCATTCAGGCATTTTATCGAATATCTCTAAAACACATAAAAGCCTAAGTTCTAAAACAGGGTGATCAATCCAATTCTAGTATTGAGAACATGTAAACTGAAGAACCTAAAGATTAAGAATTCCCTAAGACATCTAATCTATCAAATCATTGAATTCTCCTACTTGGAACCCTAAAACCCAATTAAGAGACTACTCAAATATAGCAAAAGAGAAAACAAAAATCATAGATGAAGAAAGCATGATGAAATTTCAGAAACAATAAGAAAGAGTTTAGAAATCTTCTCCAAGTGTCAAGAGGATGGATTCTTCTCCCAAAATTGTTTAGAAAGCAAAGAACAATCTTTAGAACTCAAAAATTTGAAGGATGGCTGCTAAAAGGTCGAGCCTATTTGGGTCGGTTCTGAAGTGTTTCGGATTGAATATGGGCAAAACGATGCGTCAGAAGTAAGGGTACGATCGTTCCAAATGTTAGACCGATCGGTCTAATGCTCCCAGGTTTTACTTCTGCATCAGCTTTACCAACTCGTCAGAATGACCTGTCTTCACGAAATCATGTGTAACTATTGAATGCACCGTTAGATATCCTTGAAATTACTTTCAAATGATAGTTAACATCTGTCTTCATTTTGTGTCAAAATATGAGAAAGATCTAACGGTGGAAAGTTATTCATCGGCTCCTAAACATTTGACACTTCTACATGAATCTGCATCTCCAAATGTGTGTTTCCATCCCAAAACAGCTCGTTTTATTCCAAAGCAACCTAAAACATGTAAAGACTCTATAATGCACTAAAAGAATCCTAAAACACATTTTGACTCAATAAAAGTTTTAAAATGAAAGAGAAAAGAAAGACTAAAACCGACAAAAACACAATATATCAACTCCCCCCCTGCTTAGGTTCTTGCTTGTCCTCAAGCAAAACAAAAATCTTAACCAGAAGAAGAGGTTTGAAAACATGAAAACTCACATATCCTCTGGGATCATACTCTTAATCAATTGCCTGCAAACCGCTATCACAAAGTTTATATCAAACCGTACAATAATGTACTTCATCATGACATCATGAGATCCCTAAATCACAAAGAACTAAGAATCAAATAACTTAACATGTTAACATTCATTAGCAGTTTCGTGCACTCTCACAAAGGGGATATCGAACACGTTATGGTCTAGGT